CTGTGCAGTGTTCTCATTTCAGTGTGATGGGAATGTATGAATATAGCAGGGATGTTTTTGATAACCCATTATATGGGATGAATTCCACACATTTATGATGATTTCTCATTTTGATTTTTTGTCATAATGGTCTTGTTATATAGAGTCACACCAGAGTTGACATTTAGTCAGGCATACATGTTACGGGGACATCATTTTTTTGGAAGGTTCAATATTCTGAGTGGAGGTTAATGGCTCATGAATATATATACCGGTAATAGTTATTGAAACAATTTGCAGGGCACTGGATTGTGACATTTTTATTGATATATGGTTTTAGCATACAGCATACTGATAATGATGTATGTGTTTTTCTGGCATAACCATATTGTTGGTTTGAAGTGACTCAAAGCAGAATTGAAGATTTTATGATCCAACAACAATTTTCTCTATATGAATCTTATACAATATTTTTGTTGTTGTTATTACTTAAAGCTGAACTCCAGGCAAATATAAAAGACACGAATGCAGCTCTGTATTCATTAATGCATTTAGTAAAGAAAAAAAAAAGCAGTGTAAGTACCTGAATTATACTTTGTATATTTCTCTTGTAGTTCATTTACTGTAGAGCTAAGACTGGGGAAGGCAGAAGCAGGACAAAGAATAAATTAGTTGTGTTGCAGTGCAAGGGAAATGCTGATATAAGGAGAGAGCAAATTGGCAGGGAGAGGAGCTCATTCTGCAGTCTGCTAATTCTCCATTCACAGTCCAGATAAAGCATGAGTATAGGGAGGAGACTTGTAACTGTTACTTAACAGCCATATAGAAAAATCAGGTCTTTCCCCCTACCAAAAAGTGTGGCAGAGTTGTAAATATCTCAGAACGGAGAGGACAAAAATTGAAATTCCCTACTCAAGCATAACTCCACCTTATATGTGAGCAGGAGTGGGTGCACAGATCTGAACAAAAACAGTGAGTTTTGCAACCACTCCTGCCCATGTGCCAGATTTTGACATGCGATTGTGACCATGCAGCTGCTGCTTCTGCATCCACTTCAAGGTGGATGCTCCAAGGTGGATGCAGACGCTCAGCACAGAGAACAGGGCACAGTCCCATCTGAATGAGCCCTTTGTGTCTATAGTATAGGGGTCAGGAGTGCGTAATGCACATGTGGGTAGGTGCAGCATGGTGCGGGAAGTAATGATACAGTACGGTTGCAGAAGTAAGAACTTGTATTGAAGGAGAGGCTCAACTCAACAGACAACCCACTGGGAGAACACTAAGCCAGGGACACACTCACAGTTCCATGTAACTTGAGAAAACAGTGGATTTGGATGCACCGACTGCATCTATCTCAGCGGGAAGAGTGCAGCCCTGCCGGTCTGGACCCAATGGGGAGGCCTCTGCAGAAGGATAGTGTGTCCATAACCTGACCCTCCTCACCAAGAATCTCTCACTGCCACTATTCCATTTCCCTGTCAGACGTGTTCTTCTTCCGTCTCCTATCTACTTCACAGAGTGTGCACAAAAACCTGTAACAGGGACTTAAAAAGACTCTGCTGACCCAAGATGGCCACTAGGAGTCACCTGGATGCAGCACAGCTAACTGGAATGCTGCCTCCAGTGATCAGGAAATCATGAAGAAGACAGGCTTCTCTTGACTTCCTTTCAAGCTGCAGTACTGCTTCAGTTGACTGCCACCTCCAGTGGAGGAAGCAGACCGCACCTGCCTACACCCCCCCCCCCCTCCTTTGACAGAAGCTGTCCTTAGCATCACAACACAGTAAGAACAACAAGAAAATGCAATATGAACAGGTTAAGGCATGACAATAAAATCATGCTCAAACAACATATTCACAATATCTTGCAGGGAGTTGCCCCCAGTTGAACCACAAAGGGTGACAATTCTCTTGGCTTTCAGCAGAGTCAGTTGGCAAGGGTTCATCTTCAAGTAGTGACTCGGGGTCCACAGAAGGCAAAGGGGCACATATGTCCTCCGCCTTCTCCTCACGTGGGCACAAGGTTGTATCCTCTGACATCTTAGTACAGTCATTTGTACTGGATGGAGTTTCCAGATCTCCAGGGCTCCCGGCACCAGAACTGTCGTTCTCCGAGTTGGCGGGGGCAAGAGACTCAAGCATGGGGGGGGGCAGGAACCATTCAGCAGGGGTCTAGTGCATCGGTGGGAGGTCTGTGGAGTCAAACACATTCTGGTCATCAGCTAGCTTTCAGGAACAATTGCCACTTAGCACACAAGGTTTGAACATGTTACGGTGAAGGCACCTCTTCACAGGGTTGGGCCCCTCAAAAACCAAGTTGTGTAGACTGGGGTAGGTAGGAAAAGCTGCCCCACAACCTCGTACAGGTCTTTGAAGGGTATATTCAGCTGTTCCAGTAGTGACTTGTATTGGGCCTAATCCCAGGAGGCTATGGCTGCCTGCAGATGGGCACAAACTGCATCCACCCCGGTTTGGGCCTTGGAGATGCAGTGGCAAGGCACAACACAGAGGCAGTGATATGGATGTTGTGCCCAGATTGGTAAACTGCACCAAGACTCTTACTCAGTGGACTTCAGACAAATTATGTCCCAATAGCCACTCCCCTGGTGCCATGGGGTCCTTGCAAGGGCTCGAATATAACAGTGGCCACCTGTAGCTTCTTGTGGGCCCCAATGGAGAGCGGCCAGATAACCTCTTGCAGGGGCACCAGGAGTAATTTCTGCATGGGGGGAGTGCAGACCACCCGTTTGCTCCGGTTGCTTCCTGGCTGCCCAACACTGGGCTTTATAAGCCTGGTGCACTCTGAACCATACTGCTCATAGGGTCACAGCCCCAGACCCGCTGGCCGCAATGTTCATACTTGGTCAACAGGCGAGGCAAGTCCAAGTCTTTCAGAACATTCATGCCCAACATAACAGGCAGTGCAGGGTGATGCCCTCCACCAGGATAGGTAGATTTTTAGTTGCTCTGAGGGACAGCCAGGAGGGATCCAGCTGTTCCCGTGCCCCTAATCTCTGTGCATAAAACTCATACTCCATGACAGTGACATCTGACCCAGTATCAATCAGGCATGGGACTTCCTGGCCATTGACAAGGGCTGATACTACTGGACACGATGCAACCTTGGCCTCTGTCTTTCTGGATAGCACTTACCTCGGGGTTCTAGCATAACAGCCTCTTTGTGTTCTGGACACCAGCTAGCCATTACATGCAATTCAACTTAATCAATCAGTGAATTCTCACCCATTTACAAATTGATTTAGGTTAGAATTTGGGGCATTTAGGAACAGCATGTTTTAATAAAAAAAATTGCTGCATTGATTAGCTAGTGAGGGGTATTGTTTGCAATGTAAAAAACAATACCAACTGTGCATACTCAGGCATGACAATTGAGATTTATAGTGGGGTTTTTTTCAGCAGAAGTTTAATATTTTTTATGCTAGCAAGCTCCATTATCGTTATATTGGCAAATCTTTCTTAATACCAACAGCAAATTTGTGATTTTTGTATTTTAATGCAAGTAGTGAGTTTGAGTTTTTTTACTTTCTAAGGACAGCATTGAGCTTGATCCTTTATTCTTGTCCCTGGAGATCTCCTGAGAAGCCAGGAGGGCTTAGTAGTGCTTGCAGGTTGTGGAGCTGGGAGCAGCTCTGTAAGGGGGAGAGAAGACTGCATGTAGCTATGAGAAGTAAAGTGGTTTTTGAGGGGCTGCTAGTTCCTCGCCTGTAAGGGGCAGCTGCCTACTGATCTGCAATGACTGATGGCTTTCAGGAAATGAACAGTCCAGGATCTGCTTTGTACATAGGAAAGAATTGTCCCCCTTCCATTGTTTTAGGTCAAGTTGGGTATCCCATAATCCCTATTTCCCTATACAAATTGATTTCCCTTAATAAAACAACAAAACCAAGTTCATGGACCAGTTGCCTGGCTGTGGGGAGGGAAGCTTAGGGATACTCACAACACAGCAGCCCTCATGAGGGTAGCGCTACACCTGTAAGTGTTACCTAACTGCAGCAGAACAAATCAGGTATCCCCCACCAGAGAAAGATGTGCTGTGTGCCTGAGCTATGTACATCTAAGGCCTGGATTGACAGAAATACAAACCCATAAATATATATATATATATATATATATATATATATATATATATATATATATATATATATATATATACACATACACTTCCCAAAAATGTAAAGGAACACTTTGAAAACACACCAGATCTCAATGGGGAAAAATCTCCTGCTGGATATCTATACTGATATGGACTGGGTAATGTGTTAGGAATGTAAGGATGCCCCATCATTTGATGGACATGAAAATTATCAACCTACAGAGGACTGAATTCAAAGACACCCCCAAAATCAAGGTGAAATCAAAATGGTACTCAGTAGTTTATATGGCCCCCACACACTTATATACATGCCTGACAACGTCAGGGCATGCTCCTAATGAGATGACGGATGGAGTCCTGGGGTATTTCCTCCCTGATCTGGACCAGGGCATCACTAAGCTCTTGGACAGTCTGAGGTGCAACCTGGCGGTATCGTATGGACCGAAACACGATATCCCAGAGGTGTTCTATTGGATTTAGGTCAGGCGAGCGTGGGAGCCGTTCAGTGATATCAATTGCTTCATCCTCCAGGAACTGCCTGCATACTCTCAATACATGAGATGAGGAATTGCTGTGCACCAGGAGGACCCAGAACCCACTGCACCAGTGCAGGGTCTGACAATGGGTCCAAGGATTTCATCCCGATACCTAATGGCAGTCAGGGTGCCATTGTCTAGCCTGTAGAGGTCTGTGTGTTCCTCCATGGATATGCCTCCCCTGGCCATCACTGACCCACCACCATCATGCTGAACGATGTTACAAACAGCATAACGTTCTCTTATATGTATATATAGATATATAAATACACACTATATTGCCAAAAGTATTGGGACATCCCTCCAAATCATTGGATTGAGGTGTTTCAAACACCTCCATGGCCACATGTGTATACAATCAGGCACCTAGGCATGCACACTGCTTCTACAAACATTTGTGAAAGAATGGGTCACTCTCAGGAGCTCAATGAATTCAAGCATGGTACCGTGATAGGTTGTCACCTGTTCAACAGGTCCAACCGTGAAATTTCCTAGCTAGTAAATATCCCACTGTCAACTGTTAGTGGTATTATAACAAAGTGGAAGTAACTCGGAACAACAGCAACTCAGCCACAATGCGGTAGGCAACGTAAAATGACAGAGCGGGGTCAGCGCATGCTGAAGCGCACAGTGCGCAGAAGTCCCCAACTGTCTGCAGAGTCAATAGCTAAAGACCTCCAAACTTCATGTGGCCTTCAGATTAGCACAACAACAGTGCGTAGAGAGCTTCATGGAATGGGTTTCCATGGTCGAACAGGTGTATCTAAGCCTTACATCACCAAGTGCAATGCAAAGCATCGGATGTAGTGGTGTTAAGCACGCCGCCACTGAACTCTAGAGCAGTGGAGACATGTTCTCTGGAGTGACAAATCTTGCTTCTCTATCTGGCAATCCGATGGACATTTCTGGGTTTGGCGGTTGCCAGGAGAACGGTACTTGCCAGACTGCATTGTGCAAAGTGTAAAGTTTAGTGGAGGCGGGATTATGGTGTGGGGTTGTTTTTCAGGGATTGGACTTGGCCCCATAGTTCCAGTGAAGGGAACTCTTAAGGCGTCAGCATACCAAAACATTTTGGACAATTTCATGCTCCAAAATTTGTGGGAACAGTTTGGAGATGGCCCCTTCCTGTTCCAACATGACTGCACACCAGTGCACAAAGCAAGGTCTATAAAGACATGGATGAGTTAGTTTGGGGTGGAGGAACTTGGCTGACCTGCACAGAGTCCTGACCTCAACCTGACAGAACATCTTTGGGATGAATTAGAGTGCAGACTGTGAACCAGGCCTTCTCACCCGACATCAGTGCCTGACCTCACAAATGCACTTCTGGAAGAATGGTCAAACCTTTCCATAGACACACTCCTAAACCTTGTGGACAGCCTTCCCAGAAGAGTTAAAGCTGTTACACCTGCAAATGGTGAGCCAACTCAATATTGAACCCTACGGACTAAGACTGGGATTCCATTAAAGTTCATGTACGTGTAAAAGCAGGTGTCCCGATACTTTTGCCAATATAGCGTGTGTATATATATATATATATATATATATATATATATATATATATATATATTCTGTGTATTTAGCTGTTTGTCTGGAGTTTAGCTTTAATAAAAAAGCTTGGTGAGTAGGTTGTTATGCAGAAACAGCCACCTAAGCAGTGTATGAGTTATCAGTTACAAATATAAAAGGTTTTGTTGCTTGCTTCTGCAAGGCCAATTCACGAGCCATCCCATTGTGGCTTCTCTGGATTGCTGATCCTGATAAAAGTGTTATCCCAAAGCTTCAGATCTGCTGTTTGGTATTCATCTCTCTTTGGTAACCTTCAGTGTTAGTTAACCCATCAGGGAACTCTTGGAAATGTGCATTATTCAAAACAGAAAGCACTTTGCTTTTTCAACAAAAGATTTGTTTTTCCCTTTTGAGCACAGCATTTTTTTTATTTTATTTTTTTTATAATGAGCAATTGTCAATTTGCTTTTATATTCAATAAAGCAAAGAGAATGGAGAATGTGTGTACAGCAACTAATCAGAACAGTTTACAGGGTGATGAACCTTAGATAATAAAACAAAACATAACATCTTTACATATTATGATGTTAAAGTGGTTATAAATAGAGATGAGCGAATCGAACATGACGAAGTGGAATTCGTTCCGAAGATTTGGAAAAATTCTATTCGCGACGAATCCGAAGATTAGCAAACTTCGGATGCACGAATCGAATTTTCCCCAAAATGGCGGCAACATGTGTGGCGACAGGAAAAAATGGACAGAGAAGATGGGGCGCGGATCTCTGGGAAGGCGCGCAGACAAGGCGCGCTGACCCATAATGCATTCATGAGTCATGAATCATGACATGTGATCTCATTAGCCAATCAGCAGCCAGCCAGTCAGCACTGTGTAATGGTGGAGCTATAAATCGCGGCCATCTTAGAATTCTCCATTAGCCTCCGGTCATTCAAGAGAGACAGACCTCTGTGTATTGAGGGACAGAGTTAGGGCCACAGAGACTTTAGGGCCACAGAATCGTTACTCAGGGACACAGAATCGTTACTCAGGGACACAGAATCGTTACTCAGGGACACAGAATCGTTACTTAGGGCCACAGCTATCAAAGAATCGAAAATTTAAAGTGACATACACCATTTTTTTTTTTTTGTGGCTGTCGTGCACAGTTGGTGCTGCAGTTTGCGTACAATAAACTGACTTTCTGCTTCACAACCACTATTGTACGTTCAAAGAGTTAGATCCATTTACACGCCGGCTGGCGGTAATATTTTTTTTTGGGTGATTAGTGCATTCCAGTGACAGAAACGTACAGTTTCCAGCCAACGGCAAGCTGCAATTGACCGATTGTGTACAATAAACTGACTTTCTGCTTCACAACCACTATTGTACGTTCAAAGAGTTAGATCCATTTACACGCCGGGTGGCGGTAATATTTTTTGGGTGATTAGTGCATTCCAGTGACAGAAACGTATAGTTTCCAGCCAACGGCAAGCTGCAATTGACCGATTGTGCTAAATAAACTGACTTTCTGCTTCACAACCACTATTGTACGTTCAAAGAGTTAGATCCATTTACACGCCGGGTGGCGGTAATATTTTTTGGGTGATTAGTGCATTCCAGTGACATAAACGTACAGTTTCCAGCCAACGGCAAGCTGCAATTGACCGATTGTGCTAAATAAACTGACTTTCTGCTTCACAACCACTATTGTACGTTCAAAGAGTTAAATCCATATACACGCCGGGTGGCGGTAATATTTTTTGGGTGATTAGTGCATTCCAGTGACATAAACGTACAGTTTCTAGCCAACGGCAAGCTGCAATTGACCGATTGTGCTAAATAAACTGACTTTCTGCTTCACAACCACTATTGTACGTTCAAAGAGTTAGATCCATTTACACGCCGGGTGGCGGTAATATTTTTTGGGTGATTAGTGCATTCCAGTGACATAAACGTACAGTTTCCAGCCAACGGCAAGCTGCAATTGACCGATTGTGCTAAATAAACTGACTTTCTGCTTCACAACCACTATTGTACGTTCAAAGAGTTAGATCCATTTACACGCCGGGTGGCGGTAATATTTTTTTGGGTGATTAGTGCATTCCAGTGACATGTGATCTCATTAGCCAATCAGCAGCCAGCCAGCCAGCACTGTGTAATGGTGGAGCTATAAATCGCGGCCATCTTAGAATTCTCCATTAGCCTCCGGTCATTCAAGAGAGACAGACCTCTGTGTATTGAGGGACAGAGTTAGGGCCACAGAGACTTTAGGGCCACAGAATCGTTACTCAGGGACACAGAATTGTTACTCAGGGACACAGAATCATTACTCAGGGACACAGAATCGTTACTCAGGGACACAGAATCGTTACTCAGGGACACAGAATCGTTACTTAGGGCCACAGCTATCAAAGAATCGAAAATTTAAAGTGACATACACCATTTTTTTTTTTTCCAGGTGGCTGTCGTGCACAGTTGGTGCTGCAGTTTGCCGATTGTGTACAATAAACTGACTTTCTGCTTCACAACCACTATTGTACGTTCAAAGAGTTAAATCCATTTACACGCCGGCTGGCGGTAATATTTTTTGGGTGATTAGTGCATTCCAGTGACAGAAACGTACAGTTTCCAGCCAACGGCAAGCTGCAATTGACCGATTGTGTACAATAAACTGACTTTCTGCTTCACAACCACTATTGTACGTTCAAAGAGTTAAATCCATTTACACGCCGGCTGGCGGTAATAATATTTTTTGGGTGATTAGTGCATTCCAGTGATAGAAACGTACAGTTTCCAGCCAACGGCAAGCTGCAATTGACCGATTGTGTACAATAAACTGACTTTCTGCTTCACAACCACTATTGTACGTTCAAAGAGTTAGATCCATTTACACGCCGGGTGGCGGTAATATTTTTTGGGTGATTAGTGCATTCCAGTGACATAAACGTACAGTTTCCAGCCAACGGCAAGCTGCAATTGACCGATTGTGCTAAATAAACTGACTTTCTGCTTCACAACCACTATTGTACGTTCAAAGAGTTAGATCCATTTACACGCCGGGTGGCGGTAATATTTTTTGGGTGATTAGTGCATTCCAGTGACATAAACGTACAGTTTCCAGCCAACGGCAAGCTGCAATTGACCGATTGTGCTAAATAAACTGACTTTCTGCTTCACAACCACTATTGTACGTTCAAAGAGTTAAATCCATTTACACGCCGGCTGGCGGTAATATTTTTTGGGTGATTAGTGCATTCCAGTGACAGAAACGTACAGTTTCCAGCCAACGGCAAGCTGCAATTGACCGATTGTGTACAATAAACTGACTTTATGCTTCACAACCACTATTGTACGTTCATAGAGTTAGCTCCATTTACACGCCGGGTGGCGGTAATATTTTTTGGGTGATTAGTGCATTCCAGTGACAGAAACGTACAGTTTCCAGCCAACGGCAAGCTGCAATTGACCGATTGTGCTAAATAAATGACTTTCTGCTTCACAACCACTATTGTACGTTCAAAGAGTTAGATCCATTTACACGCCAGGTGGCGGTAATATTTTTTGGGTGATTAGTGCATTCCAGTGACATAAACGTACAGTTTCCAGCCAACGGCAAGCTGCAATTGACCGATTGTGCTAAATAAACTGACTTTCTGCTTCACAACCACTATTGTACGTTCAAGAGTTAAATCCATATACACGCCGGGTGGCGGTAATATTTTTTGGGTGATTAGTGCATTCCAGTGACATAAACGTACAGTTTCCAGCCAACGGCAAGCTGCAATTGACCGATTGTGCTAAATAAACTGACTTTCTGCTTCACAACCACTATTGTACGTTCAAAGAGTTAGATCCATTTACACGCCGGGTGGCGTTAATATTTTTTGGGTGATTAGTGCATTCCAGTGACATAAACGTACAGTTTCCAGCCAACGGCAAGCTGCAATTGACCGATTGTGCTAAATAAACTGACTTTCTGCTTCACAACCACTATTGTCCATTCAAAGAGTTAGATCCATTTACACGCCGGGTGGCGGGGCGGGTATATTTTTTGGGTGATTAGTGCATTCCAGTGACATAAACGTACAGTTTCCAGCCAACGGCAAGCTGCAATTGACCGATTGTGCTAAATAAACTGACTTTCTGCTTCACAACCACTATTGTACGTTCAAAGAGTTAATATCCGTTTTATTTTTGGGGTGCTTATTGAATTAAAGAGTATGTCAGACAACACGCAGAGGAGTGGCAGAGGAGGCAATGTTTCAGGAGTGAGCAGACGTGGCAGCAGAGGAAGGGGTCGAGGCAGCACTAGTCGCAGCCAGAGGCCAGTG